TCACTTTGCACGTGGAGTACGGACCACACGGACTCGGTGTACATGGGTCTATCGGCGGTAGTGGCGCAGATACTGATCAAAAAATGTCACATATTTAAAATGGATAGTTACATTTAATAGCAGTGTTGTATAATTTAGCACTAAGAAATAAAATACAATAAAAAAAGGAGGCAAAGAACGGCAATATCTTAAGCCACTAGTTTTTGCAAATAGGTTTTTTTTTTAATAAAATTAAGCAAATAACTTACTTATTGCAGTACAGCGTGTGAACGGATCTCCTGTGTACTGTGATGGACAAGAGCAAATCGGGTTGTGGTTAATTACTTGACACCTTGCTCCGTAACCGCAGCTGCCCTTACATGGATTTATACATTTTTGGTTGTTGCAAGCCTCGTCCGGTGGACATTCTGCGCTTATTGTACATTCAGGCCTACAAGACGGTGGACTGCCGATGTATGTGGGCAGACATGAACATATGGCTTGATTATTAATCGGTCTACATTGGCTGTTTGGTCCACAAGGACTGGGGTTGCAGGGTTGAACTTCAATAACTAAAAAGAGAAACATTACTTACTAATGTATTATGAATAACCAATTACGACTGAGTTTTCAGAGATTTTTTCATTCAATATGCTAATGTTAAAACTTTCTGATTCAATTAAATCACTTACCTTGTATAGCATGGCATTCAGTAAATGCATTTCCAGACATATTTTCTGGGCAGGTACAGATAGGAATATGATTGTATACCGTGCAAATTGCGTTCAAAGCACAAGTGCCAGGACATGGATTCACGCATTTATTTCTAGAGCATACTTTGTCTAAAGCACAGTCCATATTTGTCACACATTCTGGTTTGCATCCTACATATGGATCGCCCCGATATTCGGGCATACACGTGCATACGCCATTTGAGCATAAAGCGTTAAAACCACACGGAGACGGATTACATGGATCAGGAGGTAACTCATCTGAAATAATCAATTAAACGTTAAATTATGTTTGTCAAATGCACATCAGGTAAACAGGTATAAAATACAATTTAAATGTTCGTATTTGGATACCTACCGTTAATCTGTTCAATAACAACACAACGAGTGAATGGATCTCCGGTGTAGCCTTGAGTACACGTGCAAGCAGGGAAATGATTAAACACAGTGCACACTGCATTTTGACCACAACTTCCAGGGCAGGGATCTTTGCATTTCATGTTTAAGCAGGCTTTATCTGAGGGGCAATCTTGATTTATGGCGCACTCTGGCCTGCAGTTTGGAGGCAGCCCTTGGAATTCAGGCATGCAACTGCACGACGGGAATCCATTGACGTCACGACACAGCGCATTTTCACCGCAGGGATTGGGTAAGCAAGGGTTCTTTTGAATTTCTGGGATTTGTTCTGCAATAACTATAACGAAAATAAAAACGAAAAATTTAATTAACTTAGTTAACACTATGCACCCAATCTTATATTCATGAAAATAGAAAACTGACCAGGCTTATAACAACGTGTAAATGGATCTCCTGTAAATCCAGGGCTACAAGAGCAAATAGGACTATGTGTTATAACTCTGCAGTTTGAATTTGTTCCACAGTGATTGGGACATGGATTTACACATTTACGATTGACGCATGCTTTATCTGATGGACACTCTGAGCTAATAGTACATTCTGGTCGACATCCCGGAGGAGAGCCTATGTATCCAGGCATGCATGAACATGCACTTTGTCCGTTCGCTGGTCGACATACACTATTTGGACCACATGGATTTGGCAAACAAGGTGTCAATGGTGCCGGTGATGATTCTGGAAATATAAAGAAAATATGGTTGCAGTCATGTTATTAAGTATAACTCCTAGTTCAAAAGGAAAATAGGTACCTTTTAGAATATCACATTGCCGATACGGATCTCCTGTGTATCCATTTGGACATGAGCAAGATGGTAAATGGTTGACAACTGTACATGTTGCTAAACGTCCACAAGTTCCTGGACACGGATCTTGACATTTATTTCGAATGCAAGCTTTGTTTTGGACACAATCTGTGTTAATGGTACATTCTGGACGACAACCTTCATATGGATTTCCGATGTATTCTGCTAGACAACTACAGGAACCGACAGCATTTCGTTCTTTACATTCTGCGTTAGGACCACATGGCGAAGGAGTGCAAGGTGTTGGTTTTTCTATAATTGTTACTTCTTCACGTCTGCAGTTCGTGAACGGATCTCCCGTGTATCCGGAATCACAGAAACACATTGGCGAGTGACTAATCGTTTTACATTGTGCATTTAATCCGCACGCCGATATACAAGGATCTTTACATTTTTGGTTTATACATGCTTGAGTAGATGGACATTCACTGTTAGAGGAACATTCTGGTCGACAATAAGGAGGTGAACCAAAGAAGTTTTGCAAGCAAGCGCAGGAAGGTGATCCAGCAACGTCCTTACAAATTGCATTAAGTCCGCATGGGGATGGTGAACATGGTGTAACATCTGCCATTGGTGTTCCTGTGACAAAAATAAAAATGTATTCTTAGTAATTGAAGGTGATTTGTTTTGATTATATTGCGAAACGTTTTATTATTTTTTGAATAATACGAAAATCAATTATGACTATGACATATGACATATGGCATATGACATATGACATATGACATATGACACATGACATATGACATATGACTTCAAAAGAATTAGAATACTCACTGAAAGGTATGCATCTGACGAATGGATCCCCTGTGTATTTAGGTGGACAAGTACATATGGGGTTATGTTTAATAACTTCACATTTAGCTTCGACTCCACACGATCCTGCACACGGATTAATACATTTCTGGTTACTGCAGGCTCTATTTGGCGGGCAGTCTGAGCTCACAACACACTCCGGTCGACATGTCGGAGGGCTGCCCGTGTATCCTGGTACGCAAGTGCACACGGCCTGCCCGTTAACTTCTCTGCATTGGCTGTTTGGTCCACAAGGCGAAGGATGGCATGGATTTGTTACAACTGGAACTACAATTAGAAAATTATTCGTGAGGATTAAATTGATTTTAAACTGGTATCATTTAAAAAGATTTTGTATGGACAAAAACTAAAAATTAAAAAATTGTACTTATAATAGGCACAAACCTAATAATGGATTACAACTATAGAAGGCATTTCCAGTTTTTCCTTGAGGACAGCTGCACATAGGTACGTGGTTAATAACTTCGCAAACAGCTGTTACAGCGCAAGTATTTTCACAAGGGTCCACACACTTATTTCTAACACAAGCCTTGTCTTTTGGACAATCAATGCTAAGAACACATTCTGGTCGGCATCCTACGTATGGATCTCCTTGATGCTCTTCAATGCATGTGCATATACCATCATTGCAAATTGCGTTAGTTCCGCATGGAGATGGATTGCATTTATCTAAGACATCCGATGGTACTAAAACAAAAAACATTTTTAATGCATTTAAATAAATCAATATAATAATGATTGCAGTATAAATTCATAGATGTATACTTACTTGTTATTTTTGGATTGCAAACCGTAAACGCATCACCGGTGTATCCTTCTGGACAGTTACAAGTCGGTGTGTGTCGGAATACAGTACATAGTGCATTTATACCGCAAGAACCTTGACAAGGATCTTGACACTTCTGATGGATACAAGCTTGCGAAGTTGGGCAGTCAGAGTTCAGTGTACACTCTGGTCGACAATTAGGTGGACTTCCTATGTAATTTGGCATACAAGTGCATGATGGTATATCACCGACTTCTTGGCAAACGGAATTTGGACCGCAAGGAGATGGTACACATGGATTTCTGTACGGTTCCAATTCAGCGTTGGCAACAGGAGCTATAATAGGAAAAAAATTATGTATAAACCTTACATTTATCTATTATGTAATATCATGGAGAAAGACACAGAAATTAATATCTATTGTACAATTATATTTTTAACATTATTTATACGTACGTGGCATTGGGTAGCAACGTGTGAAGGGATCTCCAGTGTATCGTGTTACACAGGTACAGATGGGCCTGTGGTTGATGACACGACATTCTGTGTTCATTCCGCAAGCATCGCGACAAGGATCCTCACATTTCTGATTAATGCATGCTTTGTTTTTGGGACATTCTGTACTTATGGTACATTCAGGATGGCATCCGGGTGGTGACCCGATGTAATTAGGTAAGCAAGAACATACTGCTTGATTATTTATTTCCTGGCAACGGCTATTCGGACCACATGGTGATGGTTGACAAACATTTATTGGTTTATCTTCTATTTCTGTAAAGAGAAAAGGTATTATTTTCGATCGGAAGTTAAGAAAAGTATTATGAAAATTTGTATATAAACCTCAATTTACCTTGCAGTGTGCAGTGTCTAAATGGATCGCCAGTATAGCTTCTTAAACAAGAGCATGATGGTGCGTGATTTACTACTTGACACATAGCATTCAAGCCGCACGCGCCTGGACATGGATCTTGACACTTATTCTGTAGACAAGCTTTGTTTGATGGACAATCGGTATTAATAATACATTCCGGACGACAACCTTCGTAAGGATTTCCTATGAAACTTTCTATGCAGGTACAAGATCCAGCGCCATTAAATTCTTTGCAAATGGCATTTGATCCGCATGGGGACGGTTGACAAGGCGTCAAAACGTCTTGAATAATTTCTATTTTGTAACATTCACTGAATGGGTCTCCAGTGTAGTCAGGCAGACAGCCACATGATGGTGAATGGCTGATGACGTGGCATTTTGTATTAGATCCACATGTTCCCACGCAAGGATCGACGCATTTCTCGTTTATACAAGCTTTACTTGTGGGACACTCAGAATTACTAATGCACTCTGGTTTGCAATAAGGTGGTGCTCCTACAAATCCATCGAGGCAAGAACAAGCCGGTGAGCCTAAAGTTTCCTTGCAGAGTGAATTAGGACCGCATGGTGAAGGTGTGCAGGGATTAACGATTTCTGGTTTATATTCTATCTTGACGCATCTTACAAATGGATTGCCTGTGTAATGTGCGAGACATGAACAGATGGGATTGTGATTTATTACTTGGCACTTCGCATCTACGCCACATGCGCCTTCACATGGTTTAATACATTTTCTGTTACTACAGGCTTCATCAGGTGAGCAATCAGTGCTCAGAACACATTCCGGTCTGCATGAAGGGGGGCTGCCAATGAACCCATCTAGACACGAGCAGACAGCTTGTCCGTTTATTTCTCTGCATTGACTGTTTGGTCCACAAGGGTTTGGATCACATGGCCGCGCTTTTTCAACTAAAACAACAACAAAAAAATATTGTTTTCATATATTTCTAGCGAAAAATTTAGAACGCAGATCGATGACATATAAAAAGACCTTACCTTTAATTTGAGTGCACATAACGAAAGCGTTGCCTGCCATGCGCTCTGGGCATCTACACATAGGCACGTGGTTGATTACATCGCAAATTGCGTTGGACGCGCATACACCGCTGTTGCACGGATTAACACATTTGTTTTTATGACATGTTTTGTCGTGGGGGCAATCCGAGCTAAGAACACATTCTGGGCGACAATCAAATGATGGTCCCATTTGATACTCGGGAGGACAGGAACATTCCCCGTTGTTACAAATAGCGTTTGCGCCACAGGGAGATGGATTACATAAGTCGATTTCGTCGTATGAAATTTCTGTAATTAGTGATGTTTATTTTAAATAATAGTAATGACATACATAGAAGCTGAACACCGAGTGCAGATGTAGCAAAGAAAATTCTTAAAAAAATTATAATATGAAAAAAAAAATCGTACCTTTTACTTTACACTCAACAAATGCATCTCCGGCATAATTATCCAAACAAGTGCATATTGGCATGTGATTTTTAACAATACACTGAGCATTTAGTCCACAAGAACCAGGACAAGGATCTCTACACTTTTGATTTATACAAGCCATATCACTAGGACAATCAGGGTTTATCAAACACTCTGGACGACAGCCTGGCGGTGAACCGATGTAGTTAGGTAGACAAACGCAGGATGGAATACTTCCGACTTCTTTGCACTCACTATATGGTCCACAGGGTGACGGTAAGCACGGATGTTTTGGATGTTCAACTTCTGATGGAGCGTTTATAATGATTGGATAACAGCGACTGAAGGGATCACCCGTGTAGTGTTCAATGCAAGTACATATTGGACTGTGGTTTATGACTTGACATTTTGTACTTTGTCCGCATTGTCCTAAACAAGGGTCGATACATTTTTGTGATACACAGGCTTTATTAGTTGGGCACTCGGCGCTGATAACGCATTCAGGTCTACAGTTTGGTGGACTGCCTTCGAAATCTTGCAAACACTTACAAAGAGCCTGTTCGTTTACTACCTTGCATTCACTATTCGGGCCGCATGGAGAGGGACTGCATGGATTTGACGGTTCCTTAATTTCTGAAAAATATTTTATTTATAAATATACAGTAAATATACAAAATATGAGACTAAAGATAAATAAACTAACCTTGAATGATGATACAATTTTGGAATGGGTTACCGGTGTATCCTCGAAGGCAAGAGCACATTGGAGAATGGTTTATGGTGTGACACTCAGCGTTAGATCCACATGTACCAGGACAAGGGTCTTGACATTTGTTCTGTTGGCACACCTTGTCGGAGGGACAGTCGGTGTTAACACTACATTCAGGGCGACAGCCCTCATATGGATTTCCGAAATAGCCAGGAGAACAAACGCATGAGCCAATATTATTCTTTTCTTTGCAGATGGCATTGCTACCACAAGGAGATGGAGTACACGGTGATAAGATTTCTGGCGTATATTTACTCTCAATGCAATTAACAAATGGATCTCCAGTGTATCCAGGCAGACATATACAATTCGGCGTATGACTTACAACTCTACATTGTGCATTTGCGCCGCACGCCCCTTGGCATGGGTCGGCGCATTTATTTTTAATGCAAGCCATGTGGTTGGGACACTCGCTATTACTAGTGCATTCTGGTCTACAATTCGGCGGTACACCGGTAAATTCAGGCATGCAAGAACAAGAAGGTGAATCTTTGAGATTCTGACAAATGGAGTTCGGTCCACACGGCGACGGTTCACAAGGATTAATTTGAGGTGGTGCTTCCAAAGCTAAAACGAAAGACACAATATATTAAATTGAAACATTACAAAAGAAAATTAAATTAAGAAAACAGACTTACGCCTTGGAATACATCTACTGAACGGATCGCCTGTGAAATCATTAGGACATGAGCATATCGGATTGTGGTTTACAACTTCACAATGGGCGTTGACTCCGCATGATCCTGTGCAGGGATTGGTACATTTATAGTTACTGCAAGCTTTGTTGAGCGGACATTCGGAACTTGTGGTACATTCCGGTCTACATGTTGGTGGGTTTCCTGAGTATCCAGGTATACATGAGCATACTGCTACGTTATTAATTTCACGACACTGGCTATTCGGTCCACAGGGTGAGGGGTTACATGGGTTGGTAGGTAATGGAGCTGTAAAAAGAAAACGGTTAGAATATCCTAAAAAATATTCACAAGATTTGATGGAGTTTAACAAATAATAATTTTTAACCTTGGATTTTATTGCAAGAAACAAAGGAGTTTCCAGTATGTCCTGGAGGGCAACTGCACATCGGTACATGATTGATGACTTCACAAATCGCATTTGAGCCACATGTATCGGGACATGGATTAACACATTTCTTATTTACACATATTAGACTCCTTTCACAATCCGAGCTCACTGTACATTCTGGCCGACAACCAATATATGGGTCCCCATGATATTCTGGCAGGCAAGAACATTGGCCGTTATCACAATTAGTGTTCGAACCACAAGGTGACGGGTTACAAAGATCGGCGACGATGGGGTCTGAAAACCGAAAATTTGTTAACAATCATTACCATGTTGCAAGATCTTAAAAATACTTAAAGGAAATGTAGCCTACCATCTAACGGCTTGATTTTACACACAGTGAATGGATCCCCTCTATAGCCTTCTAGACATGTGCATACCGCTACATGTTTAAATACTGAGCACTGAGCGTTTTGCCCACAAGACCCAGGACAGGGATCGGCGCATTTTTCATTTATACATGCCAACGAACTGACACAGTCTTGATTAGTCACGCATTCAGGTCTACAATTTGGTGGACTTCCAAAGTAACCAGGAGTACATGAACATGTCGCTTGGCCTCCGAAATTTTTGCACATAGCGTGCATTCCGCAAGGTGACGGGACACACGGGTCTCTTGTTTCATCGATGACAGGCTGAGAAGCTAGACAAAAAATACATACATAATATAAGTATAACGTATAAAATAACTACATAATTGTTAGTTTTAACTATGAAATTCTACCGCTATGAATTAACGTTTTTGTTAAAATATATTCTCGTCTCGGTTTTTTCAAAGATAATGAGGATTTTTTCTTTTTTTTTTAAAAAAAAGTTTACAGAGTTTCTAAATCTAAAATTACATATATCTTATTCCTATATCTCAGCCTTTATCACTCTTCAGATAATGAGACTGACGACAATACGTTTAATAGGATAAAATAAAAGTTTTTAATTACTTGGTTTAAGGTAGCATCTTGTGAACGGATCGCCTGTAAATCCTGAAACGCAGCTGCAAATAGGATTGTGATTGAATACCCGACATTCGGCCTTTTGTCCACACGGGCCAGGGCAAGGATTTATACACTTATGGTTAACACAAGCTTTGTCGGTAGTACAATCTGAGTTTAGTAGACACTCGGGCTTGCATAAGGGGGGTTGTCCAATAAATTCCGGCAAACAACTGCATGCGGCTTGATCGTTAACAACACGGCATTGGCTGTTAGGTCCACAAGGGCTCGGAGAACAAACATTAACTGGTGCAGGCTCATCTAAAAATGCATAAACTTGATTACAAACATTCAACTAATAATTTGTGAAACACAACACTTGAAAATCTACTTACGGAGCATAACTTGGCATCGTCGGAACGGATCTCCAGTATACCCTATATTGCATGTACACGTAGGTGCGTGATTTATCGTACTGCACTCCGCAAATAGTCCGCATGTTCCCGGACAAGGGTCTTGACATTTGTTACCAATACATGCTCTGTCACCAGGGCAATCTGAGTTGGTCACACATTCTGGTCTACAACCCTCATATGGATTTCCAAAGTATCCTTCATTGCAAGTGCATGAACCGACTTTATTTTGTTCTTTGCAAATTGCATTTGGTCCACAAGGAGAAGGTTGACATGGTGTTAAAATTTCAACAGCTGATCTAAGAACGCATTGGGTGAACGGATCGCCTTCATATCCTTGAGGACAGATACACATCGCGGAATGGCTCACGACACGACATTCTGCGTTTGCACCACATGCGCTTGTACACGGGTCTTTACATTTCTGATTGACACAAGCTAAATGAGTAGAACATTCACTGTTGCTTATGCACTCCGGCTTACAATATGGAGGTTGTCCTTTGAATTCGGGCATACACGTGCACGATGGGCTATCATTTATTTCTTTGCAAATAGAATTTGGACCACACGGTGAGGGCGTGCAAGGGTTGATGACTTGTGATACGCCTATAAAAATATAATTAGTAGTTAGTAGTTTTACATACTTATTGGCAGAACTATGCTTTGGAGAACGAAAACCCGGTGCGCCGACCCTACGAGAGTAGGATAAGGCAGGGGAGATGATGATGATGATTGGTAGAACTATTTACTTTTGTTACTTCATTAAATAAAGATTAAACTCACTTGTAACGTATGTGCATGACACAAATGGATCTCCTGAAAAGCCTAATGGACAGGTACAGATAGGATTGTGATTAATGACTTCACAAGTCGCTCTCAGACCACATGCCCCGACGCATGGGTTTACACACTTCTGATTTGAACAGGCTTGGTTTTGTTGGCATTCTGCGCTGACCACGCATTCCGGCCTACAAGCTGGTGGGGCACCTAAATATGTTGGCAGGCACGAACAAACTGCTTGATTATTTATTTCTCTACATTGGCTGTTAGGACCGCAAATTGCTGTGTTGCAAGGATTTTCAGATGGTTGTACTGTAAAATAATAATGGCACACGTTTTATTCATTCTATTATCTGGAAAAATAGGGAAGTATAAGAGAGAAGTATTAACAGTTACCTCTGATTGGATTACACATAACGAAAGCATTTCCTGTGAATCCAGTGTTACAACTACACATCGGTATGTGGTTCACTATCTGACAATTTGCGTTTTGACCACAAGCACCAACGCACGGATCTACACATTTTCTCTGTATACAAGCTTTGTCCTTGTCGCAATCGGTACTGAATACACACTCAGGTCGACAGTTGAAGTACGGGTCACCGTGATACTCAGGCAAACACTGACATTGTCCATTGATGCATTCTGCATTAGATCCACAATGTACATTAGTACAGGTGTCAACAGTGATCGCTTCTTCTGTAAATACAAAAATAACACATATGAATAATTTTGTCCAATTTATTTAAAAATAAAATTGAAACAAATATCATAAACTAGTTTTACCTTCAAGAGGTTTCAGTCTACAACTTGTGAAAGGATCACCTATGTAACCTTCGATACATGTGCATACTGGTATGTGATTTAGAACACTGCAGGAAGCTGATAAACCACATGAACCTGGGCACGGATCCTTACATTTTGATTTTATGCAAGCTCTGTCGCTCGGACAATCGGAGTGTATTGTACACTCCGGTCTACAGTTGGGTGGGCTGCCTACAAAGTCCGCTAAACAGGAGCAAGAGGGGCTATTTCCAATATTTCGACATTCAGAGTTTGGTCCACAAGGTGATGGATGACACGGTATATTTGTAGCTAGTGGAGGTTCGTCTAAAAAAATAGTTTTATGAAATTAGTGGTTTTGTTGATATATTAAAATAGAAATTACTAGGTTTTTAGTATGTAATTCATTGTACTTACATCTTATTGGGGTGCACATAGTAAATGGGTCTCCAGTGTATGAATTCTTGCACGAACATATGGGACTGTGGTTAATGATTTTACAGTCGGTATTGAGACCGCACGGCTTCGGGCACGGGTTTATGCACTTATTGTCGACACAAGCTTTGTCGTGAGCACATTCGGAACTTGTGACGCACTCCGGTCGACAGTTAGGTGGGGTGCCTACGTAGTCTTCTAAGCACGAGCATACGGCTTGACCTTTCGTTTCCTTGCACTGGCTATTGGGGCCGCACGGTGAAGGGTAACACGCATCAAGAGGTTTGGATATTGGCCGTGGTTCTGCAAAGAAAATATATAAATATTACATAACTACTCATAATACATTCGCTGTAGGGTTAAGCCCATTAGGATAACAATGTCTCACCTTCGTAAATACAATACTTGAATGGATCACCAGTGTATCCATCGAAACAAGTGCAGAGAGGCGCGTGATTGACCACTTGGCACACGGCGTTGTTGCCACAGCTGCCGGGACAGGGGTCAACACACTTGTTGTTAACACAGGCAAGATTAGACGAACAATCGGTGTTCACAACGCATTCCGGTCGACAGCCTTCGTATGGGTTACCAATGTGGTTCTCAATACAGCTGCAGGAACCCGCATTATTTTTCTCCTTGCAAATCGCGTTTGCACCGCAAGGCGATGGCGAGCAAGGGCTTGTTGTAGGTTCGGTACGTAATGGTTCGTGCACGCAGCCGAAGAACGGATCTCCAGTGAAACCGTAAGAACAGAAGCAGATCGGCGAATGACTGACAACTTTACATTCAGCATTAGCGCCGCAAGTTCCCTCGCATGGGTTCTTACATTTCATGTTAACGCAAGATAATTGAGTTGGGCACTCTTCGTTGCTGCTACATTCTGGCCTGCAGTATGGTGGTTGACCGCTATAGCCTTCTTGACATGTACAGGTCGGCACTTCATTGATATCCTTACATAACGAGTAAGGCCCGCAAGGTGATGGTGTGCACACATTTATGGGTTCAGGTAACTTTTCAGCTGTAAGAAAAGAGCTACATCAAGAAAACATTCACTTAAAAATACACGCTCACAGCGTAGGGGGTGACCGCTTACAATAAATGCACAATTGCAACGCTCTAGGGCAAAATAAGATACTTACGAAGTCGGAAGCATCTTGAAAATGGATCGCCGGAGTACGACGTAGGACAAGTGCAAATAGGATTGTGGTTAACCACTTTGCATTCGGCGTTTTGTCCGCATGCGCCTATGCAAGGGTTGATACAGCGCTGGTTGCTACACGCCTGGTCAAGGGCGCACTCTGCGCTGATGGTGCACTCGGGGCGGCAAGTAGGCGGTGCACCAATATTGTTTGGAGCACACGAACACGCTGCTTGGCCATTCACATTCCTGCACTGGCTGTTAGGTCCGCAAGGAGATGGCTGACATGGATTTACTTGAATAGGATCTAAAATAAAACGTGACAGTATTAAAATACTTTAAGAACTGTAATGTATGATTATATATGATTTCTTTTATAAATAAAATAATATAATTCTTTTATAAATAAATTAACATTATAAATTTAAATAAATAAATAAAATAATTTACTCACCCGTAATTGGCCTACATTCTATAAATGCGTTGCCTGTCATACGTTCAGGACAACTGCACATCGGAATGTGATTGAAGACATTGCAGACGGCGGTCGCTGCACACGTTCCGGGACAAGGATCGACACATTTGTTTCTAATGCAGGCTTTGTTACGATCACACTCAGTACTTTGGGAGCATTCAGGTCGGCAGCCGCTATAAGGGTCTCCTTGGAATTCAGGCAGACAAGTACAAATGCCATTTAGGCATTCCGCATTTGGACCACAAGGCGATGGATTGCAGGGATCGATTTCTTCTAAAAAGAAAATTTAATAAATTGCCGTTAGTAATACAATTTAACAAAATACCTAACGGACTGTATTTGTTTTTTTTTTTTATTTTGTTCGTAAATACCTTTTTGTTTTACCACTGTGCATTGAGTGAAGGCGTTACCCGTAAAACCTTCGTTACAAGTGCAGACGGCTACATGTTTCATAACATGACAGTTGGCGTTGATTCCGCACGAGCCTTTGCATGGATCGTTACATTTTTGTTTAATGCAGGCAAGATTACTTGCACAATCTTCGTTTATTGTGCACTCCGGTCGGCAATTTGGCGGACTTCCTTCGAAACCCGGTAAACATGAACATGATGGTACGCCGCGTAAATTTTGACATTGAGCGTTGAAACCGCAGGGAGAAGGTAAGCAGGGATCTGTTTCAGGTACTGCCGAAATTGGAGCTAAAAATGTAAACATGTTAGTAAAAATATCAAATTGCACTAACAATATGTTCAAATAAAATAATTTACCAGTCATTTTGTAGCAGTTGGAGAAGGGATCTCCCGTATATTTTAATTTACATGTACATATTGGACTGTGGTTAATCACTTTACAATCAGTGTTCTGACCGCAAGGACCGGGACATGGTGAGACACATTTTTGGTTCTTGCAAGTCTTATCAGCCGAACATTCTGTGCTCACAACACATTCTGGTCTGCAATTTGGAGGCGAGCCTCTGTACTCAGGTAGGCATGAGCAAACGCTTTGTCCGTTTGAAACTTTACATTGACTGTTAGGACCACAGGGTGATGGCTGACATGGATCGGTGTTTGGTTCTTCTTTAACTGTAAAAATTATATGAAGCATAAATGTTATATCAACACAAGTATAACGGTTATTTAATTCGAAAATCTTATAGTTTTTAATTTAATACGTACTTTGAACGTAGCAATGTCTAAACGGATCACCAGTGTACTCCGGTCGACATGTACACGACGGTGAGTGGTTTACGACTTGACAGTCCGCATTGACGGCACAAGTTCCGGGGCAAGGGTCGATACATTTATTTCTTACACAAGCTTTGTTACTTTGACAGTCAGAATTCACTAAACATTCGGGATGACAACCCTCGTATGGATTTCCGAAGTAACCGTTAACGCAGAAGCAAGCACCTGCTCCAGAACGTTCTCTGCATTCTGCATTGGGACCACATGGTGATGGAATGCAAGGCGATATGGGCTCATTAACTATCAGAGCGTTTATAGTGCATTGAACTGATGCATCACCGGTATATCCTTCTGGACACATACATATCGGCGTGTGGCTTACCACTTTGCATTCAGCGTTACTTCCACAAGCTTGTAGACAAGGATTTTGACATTTTTTGTTTATACATGACATTTGTTGAGCGCATTCACTGTTCGAAATACATTCAGGTCGGCAATTTGGAGGAGATCCCATGAAGTCAGGCATGCACTGACAGGTAGGAATATCTGATTCAGACGATTGACAAACGGAGTTAGGTCCACATGGAGAAGGCTGGCAAGGATTGGTTGACACCACGGCGTCGATTACGGCTGTAACAAAAAGTACATGCGTTAGACAAAAAAAGATATAAAAGTGATGTTTTCTTAATTTACTTTATGAATATTTTACTTACGCTTCTTAATACATCTTGTGAAGGGGTCTCCAGTGAGTCCATTAGGGCAAGTACATATTGGATTGTGGTTAATCACTTGACATTTCGCTGCGACACCGCATGACCCTACACAGGGGTTGATACATTTCTGATTGCTACATGCTTTATCTGTCGCACAGTCGGAGCTAGCGACACACTCTGGTCGACAGGCGGGGGGCGAACCCAAATATCCACCCAAACAAGAACAAACTGCTTGGTCGTTAAATACTCGACACTGGCTGTAGGGTCCACATGGGCTAGGCTGACATGGATTACCATGGATAACATCTGCAATATTTTTTTAAGAATATAAAAAATGTAAATACATTTTTGAAAAATACTTTTTTACACGATTTTAGTGATTTTAAAAATTACCTTGAACAGGATTACATTGAATGAAGGCGTTACCCGTCATTTTCGGGGGACAAGTACAAATAGCCATGTGTTTGACAACTTCGCAAATAGCTCCCGTGCCACAAGTTCCAACGCATGGGTCGACACATCGCTGTTTAACGCACGCCTTATCCAATGGACATTCGGAACTTGAAGTGCACTCCGGCCGACAACCAAAATATGGATCTCCATGGTAGTCGGGTAGACAAGTGCAAACACCGTTATTACATTCCGCGTTCGATCCACAAGGTGTTGGATTGCAAGGATCTATAGGAGTCTCATCTGTTAAATTAAAATATTAATTAACAAACAATAATATACTTAACAAACAATAATAATGTGTGTATAACAGGTAAACATAAAAATATGTTTTCTTCGTCTACCTTTCAATGGTTTTAGCGAACAGCTGGTAAATGGATCTCCAATGTAGCCGATAATACACGTGCATATCGAAACGTGACTTTGCACTCTACATTCAGCGTTTATTCCACAGGAGCCCGGGCATGGGTCGACACAATGTTCGTTGATGC